ATATAAATCCAACACCAAAGAGCTTATGATTTTAAGTGTATGTGGGTGGGTCTACTGGCTCCCATCACTAGAAGCCCAGGAGGCAAATCTAGCTTCAGGATTGGCTGAGCCTGGGGCCTGAAATGATGTCACCTGAATTCTATGTCCCTTGCATCTTTCAGCTTAGTTTCGCTTTACAGACTCACAAAAGGAGCGGCCCAGGCAGCCTCTGGCCCACTTTCTCCCAGTTTAGCAACCCCACTGGGGGTAGGGGGGTGGCTGGTGACTGCTCTTTCCCAGAGCCCACATATCCATTCAGGGCAGGATTCTGTTAGGCCCAGCTTGGGTCACCAACCGCAACTGACAATCTGACCGGGATCAAACGAAGTGGGCGAGGGGAGCTCCCAGAAGAAACTGGGATGCTGGGAAAGCAAGCGGACGCACGCGCACATACACACACACAAACATGACAGAATTTTTGAAAAACGATGCCCCCGATTTTCCACCTGCCTGTATATTTACAGCTATTTACAATGCCAGTTGGCAGCTCCTCCCATCAAAGGGATAAAGTCTATTTCTCCCTGAACCGGGGCTGGCTTTGTGACTCAGTTGGAACAGGATGAAACGGAGGTGAAGGTGTGCCAGGTCTAAGCTTTGACCTCAAGATGCCTGAGTCTCTCCCTCTCCCTCTCTTCTTCCCTCCCTTCCCTGCCTTTGCCAGCGAGCGTGCCCAGGGTATGCCGGAGGCATGAGATATGGGGGTAGAGCCAAATCAGCCGTCTTAGCTGCGGCCCCTGATAAGTGAGAGAGGCCTGCCAAGCCACCGAGAGCCCGCGGCTGACCACGGGCACATGAGTAACCCCGAGAGCCCAGCTCAGATGGCCAGAACCAGCCAGCCAACCCCTAGACTCTGCAGCTGTGCTGTAGCATTACCGTGATAACTGATACATGTGTCTGCCCTGCCTCTGGTGATAACTGATACATGTGTCTGTCCTCCCTCTGGTGATAACTGAGACATGTGTCTGCCCTGCCTCTGGTGATAACTGATACATGTGTCTGTCCTCCCTCTGGTGATAACTGATACATGTGTCTGCCCT